AAAAAAAAAAAAAAAAAAAAAAAAAAAAAAAAGAGGCTTAGGAAGGTTGAGAACCGCTGCAGGAGAGCCCTGTTTCCCCACCAGAGGACCAGAAGCTGCCTTGTTTTCATTGTCTGAAAGAATTAGCATGATAAGAGAAAAAAGAAAAAAAATAAAGTAATTGGGACCATTGTTCTTGAACATGGCGTCTCTTTAAGCTATTTTCATCCATATTCATGGTCTTCATGTTTCACGAATATTTTAGGGCATTAAAAAAAAGGAAAAAATGGAAATTAACTTTCTGGCAGCTCTCTGCTGAGATATAGCTGATGGTACATAAAACGTGAGTCACAACACCTTCAGGCACTGGCAGAAATCATTAGTAATCAGTACTTACTCAGCCCAAGTCTCCAAATCTATAGCTTTACCCCATCTCAGAAGCCAGGATGCAGGCTTGCTTCATTTCTGCTCTTCCCTGTGTGTGTAGCAAGGTCTGAAGAAAAGTCACATGGTAAGTTTAATAGGCAGAGCTCAGCTGGAGGAAATAGGTCACTGGAAGCAAACCTTGGAAGGATATAACTCATGCCTGATCCACCAAGAAGTCAACACTCTTTCCTCTATACTGTGAGGATCTATACTATACTCTCTTCCTCCCACTATAAAGGTCTTCCTCTCCACGGGCTTGCAGTCAACAGCACCAAGGACTGTGGACTAAAGTCACTGAAACCATAAGGCAAAACATTAACAAGTATTTCTTCCCTTTGGCTGCTTACATCAGGAATCTGGTCACATCAGCGAAGAAAACAACTAATACATAATCCCATGCTTTCCCTGTTGCCATAGACCTAGAGTTGAGTCCTGAACATCATTCTCTCTGCTTCTTACTCTAAACCTTCCATGGCTCCCGACTACCTCTCCTCAAGGGCCAGGCTCTTCGAGCTGAATTCCAAGTATGATGTTATTGCTGTTCCAGCTGCAGACTTTGGAATTTGTAGCCCAGGGCTGCCACCTACCATGGTGACATCTTGGCAAATTTCTCAGCTTCTCTAAATGTCTGTTTTCCTCTCTGAAAAACAAGAATAATGTGGTAAGAGTGAAACAATGTAAGATCCTTGGCACTGTGTCCAACACATAGCAAAACCTTCTAATTTAACCAACTTTATTCATCTTTCTGGGCCAATCTCGACCTCCTGACTCTTGTAAGAACAGCCTACACTCTTCTGAAGAGCAGCACCCTGTCCTACCTTGTTGACCCTGAGCCATGTTCCTCCAAAGCACCCTCTTCATTACTCAAAGTTTCAGAGTCTGAGTCAAATGCCACTTTATCCATAAAGGCTCTCAGAGCCCAAGAGCCAAGTATGAGAAGTCCCTCTACTGAATGTGCATGACATATGTCACCTTTCTGGTCCTTGCTCCTGACAGTGAGAGTTCCAGTTTCCTGCAAGTTTAACTTTTGTCACAGGCTCCCTCTCCACAGAGACTCTTGGAGCTGGCTCCAGTACTCCCTCAGAATATTCTGCTCGAGATATCTCCAAATAACCCTTCCTCTTGGAGTGTCAGCTCAGTAAGAGCTCCTCTGCTCCTTCTAGCCTGGGGTTATTGCCCCATCCTTGTAAGTCCCTACACCACACACTTACTTAGTGGATGAACCTCTACTATATCTAGATGTGGGCCAGAACACTCAGCTGTGGTTAGATATGATAAAGTACTTTGCTTTCCTGGACCTATGACCGTCCGGATTTATAGCCCCAAAGGAGATTCTCCCACCACCTTTCCTCTTCGAGAGAAGGTGCCACTTCGGGCAGTTAAAGCAGGTAGAAGCTCCCCAGATATAGTGAATAATATTGTCAACTTGACAAGATCTAGAACCACCTAGGAGACAAACCTCTGGACATGTCTGTGAGGAAGTTTCTAGGTTGAGTCTCATGAGATATGAAGAGCCACCCTACATGTAGGTGGCACCTTTTCATGGGCTGGAGCCCTGATGTGTCAAAAAGAGAGTGAGTTGCATTGGGCACAAGCATTCATCGCTCCCTGCTTCCTGATGGAAGGTGCAATGTCACTAGCTGCCGCATACTCCTGTTACCATGGTAATCCTCAACCATGATGGGCTGGACCCTCCAGCTATGAGTCAAAATAAACTCTTCCTTCCACAGGTTGCTTTTGACAGGTGGTTTTGTCACAGCAAAGAGGAAAGTGACTAACACTCTTGAGTCTGACCAGATAATTTCCTCTGGTAGAGCTATACAGGGAACTGTGAAAGAAACTGCTCTGCATGTCTCCATCTAAGCTTGTCAAAGCCAACTCCTGTCCCAGAAAGTAACCTTGGGCTGTAAATGTATCAAATTTTGTACTTGTGTCGTGGAAAGGAATATCCGGCAGAGGCTATAAAGTAGGTAGGAAATGTGACTGCACAGAAACTTGCTCACAAGAAAGAGCTGTGAAATTGAGAGGTGCTACCTGCCAACAACTCTGTTTCTTACTGAATGTGGGCATTGTGCCCACAGCAGTTGTCCTGAAAAGAGCAATGGTCTCAGAAGGACAATCTGTGCTCCTCGAAGGAGCCTGGACACCAAATCCGCCCACCTTGGGGTGCCTCCTATCTTGAGCCCACCCCCCGCGGTGAAGACCCAAGGGTAAGAGGGATTGTACCACTCTAGCAGGCAACTGTAACTCACACAAAATCTTGATTTAGTCTTCTCAGCTCAAAGGGAATTTCTTTCTTTTTGCTTCGCCTGGCTGTAACAGAGGAGTGGTGGAAATGGTGGCAGCATGGCATTCCATTCATCAGTGGCTGTCATCCAGAAGGAGGCTGTGTGCTCTGGGACCAGGGGACTTAGTTATCAGCAAGCCAAGAAAAGCTTTTGTGAGATCTGAGAGACAAGGAAGGGAATGCTTAAAAGCAAAGGCTGTTTGGTTGTGTTTTTTTTTTACCCCGAAGCCAGATGCTCAAAAGAAACTGTTTGACCTGTTACTGTTTGTTCCTCTTGAGAGCCCGCAGTGAGGGTTATCAAGCTTTGGGTCCTGTGAAAATTCCAGGCAAATTTCTGGGGCTGGAGTTTAACTGTGAAACAGGTGATGGTGAAGCTCCTGGACCCCACTGTGAGCTGCAACCCCGGGCACACCCGGGCTCATGGCACAAGCTACCTTTTGTTACGTCTACAATAGCCAGTGACTCTCCTTTATGAGAAACAAACAGAAGACAAGTGTTTGAATCCCATCAGCTCCCTATTCCTAGGACAGAATGGACTTCAGACAGGAGGTATTTTACAGATAAATAGAGCATCAGCAAGGACAAACGGCAAAACAGAGGGCTACAAAAGAAAAGGGAGAAGGTTTGAAAAACAGATAATAGTCCAAGAACTTGCTAGGAATGTCTGGACTTGGTTGTCACAATGAGACTTCCAAAGACTGACTTTAAATGCTCGGGCTTTTCATGAATTACAACCAACTCCCATCCCAGCCAGTCTGAACACCTTCCTTTCCCAGGATCTGCACACTAGCTTATTTTGTGCTCAGGAAGAGTGGGACCAGAGGAAATGGGTTCATAAATCCCTTTGTAAATTATTTTTATTTTATTTATGAGTGAGTGTGAATGTGTGTGAACAGTGAGTGTGTGTGCTGATGTTCTCAAATGCCAGAGGAGTGTCAGATCCCTTGGAGCTAAAATTACAGGCTTTCTGTGAACCACCCCATGTAGGTGCTGGGATCCAAACTTAGGTCTTTGAGATTGAAGTACCACTGAGCCACCTCTCCATCCACCCTTCAACCCCCATGAATTCATTTTTAATTCATTGATTTATTAGAGGGTATGTGCATGCCACAGAGTGTATGTGGAGGTCAGATGATGACAACACTAGAGAGACTGTTCTCTCCTTTCACTATATGAGTCCTGAAATTTAATTCAGATAGTCAGTCTTGGTGGCAAGCACTTTCCCACTAGATGAGTCTTCTCACTTGCCAGCCATAAGTCCGCTTTAAAATGATAATCTATATTCAGCAAAAAATAGTTTATGACCCTGTCACTAATGCTTTAAAATGTTCTGCATCTTATTTATTGGCCCATATATAGTATGCTTTCTGAATTTTTCCAAGCTACATGTGGGAAATGATTGATAAAATGCTGACCATTAGATGTTTATCTACATTCATGACAGCATCGAAACTCAGCATGAAATATTCCACTTCTCTTGTTGATGGTCTTGTGGATTTAGGCTTCTGTCCCTGGGAAAACCTTAGTACCATAGACTAAAATGCTAGCATTGTGCAAATTGGGGACAGAGAGTCATAGAAAAGCCAACATGAACGGTTCATCTCTGGAATTAGTAAACATTGATGAAATCTTAGTTGGGCACTAAGGTTTTTTTCCTTGGAATGATTCAGGATAGGTGCATTAATCCCAGAGCTGGAGACTATGCAACCAATGTAATATTTATTATGTCAAACACACTACAAGCCCCAGCCTGAGAAGTCTCCACACTGACTCAGAAACAAAAACATCTTACACACATAGTAAAGAAATCAATGTGTGGTCATGAATCCATTACAGACATGCCTTGGGGAACACAGGCACTCCCAACCTTTCTCTGGGAGTGATGAACAGTGAGTCCATTCACCGTCAAGTTATGCTCTTACACGGGTGCCTTTGAGGTCAGTTCCTGGCCTTGCATCTAAAACACTACTGGACGATCAGGAATGCAGACCAAAGATGGTTGAATAGTTCACAGAGAAAATAAACCTGAAAATGAGCTGCCCTCGCAAAGAGAGCAGCCTGAAATCCATTAGGCAGAAGCTCAAAAAAGGTTACATCAGTTGGAATATTGTTTACTTCAGCGTCACCTATGGTTGCTACTCCTAGGTCACTACCGCCAACACATATTGAAATACTCCTCTGTTGATTTGGTGAGATAAATCTATTAATCACATGCCAAAAGTGAGGCCTGTTGACAATGCTTGCAAAAAAGGATTACAGAGCCTCCTGTCAGCCTTGGGAAAGGAGGCTGCTGCCGAGTTCCAAGCTGGCTTGGTTCCCAGCTTTGCTCTTGACTCATTTCCTGCAGAAGTAAACCTGGTTACTTGTCTCGGGCACTTGATACTAACCAGAAACAAATTATGAAATACAACTTCTATGTATAAGCCTATACATAGTTCCCTGAAACCATCTCTAAGAGATGTTTTCACAAGTCAGTTTGTTTGGCAAACTACTTCCAAATAGATGTCACAACTAGTAACAATTAATTAGTTGCTGTTCAGCTGCCAATTTCACAATTTGCAAAGATACTTATAAGTGTAGCCTGATTCAACACCCTCTTTAGGGTCCCCAGAAAACTGCAAATGTTTAAAATTTTCACCTAAATCACTGCATTACAAACTGGTGGTGATCATTAAGAGGGACACTTTCTTCTCACAGTTCGTGTGGTCTTACAATAATAAGGGAACGTTTTATTTATTTTTTTAACACCCTGACAGTGAAGTTTTGGACTAGTTCATGATGGGTAACTTTATAAGCAGTTCAACTAAAACTGAATAATGTTCCTTCTAAACTGACGGGATACACAGGAACTGATGGAAAAGAATTGCTGGGTGAGTGGCCAAATATTCTAATCATGAGGATTGTTCTCTAAAGTGGATAGATCAGGTGCTGTTGAAGACTGGTGGAGTATTCAGCTGTGGTGCATAACTCACTGTCAAATTCAAGGACAGATTCTTAACAGCTTCGGTAGGTACAAATGAAGACTCACAAGGGCATTTCTGAGCAGCACTAGAAAAATAGCCTTTCTTAAGCTACTGTACCTAGGCTGCACATTAAAATTTCCAGAAGTGTTTTGAAAAATGCAGACTGTAGACCCCATCTCAAGTCGATTAAATTTTGGGAAAGAGGTATTAACAAGGGTTAGGCATCCATGTAATTTGTTTGGTTTGGTTTGGATTTCTAAAAACCTTGGGAATTCTAAGAGCAGCCATCCATTTCAACAAAAAGACCAAAATCAACTACATCTCCCCCTAACTAATCGCACCTCTTCCTCCATTTCCTGTTCTCTCCACTTGTGCTCATCAAAAGCTGACCTGGCTCTGAGCCTCCACAGGAAGCACAAAAGTCCATCTCTGGGTGCCTAGCAAATACCATTGTTGTCTGTAACAGTACAGTTCTAATGATGGACTGCATTGCTAGAATATAGGTTCTCCATGCTCCAGCCTTTAGATGAAGCTCCAAGTCAGTTAGGTGCTACCGCCAGAGGTAGTTACCATCTCCCAGTTTTAACCTGCTCCAGCTTTTCTCTGAACATCATTTCCCTGGTCTATGGGATGTAGCTAAGTAGCTACTAAAGACTTCTAGAACTGCCTGGCTCAGGAGCAAATATTCTTGCTGTAGGTGTGACCCTAGTTGTTTAAGCCTTTTCATTTTAGCACCACACCTCCTCTTGTACAGCATTCTGATAAACGAGCAAGTCTCTTTCCAACAGTAATAGAAGAGGAGAGGAAACCTTGCTGGAGAAGCACGAGAACCTCACAGGCTTTTTACAGACACTCGTTCCTGCCATACAATTTACAGAGTCTAGGTTAATAGCAGGATTCTACGTATTCTTTCCCAAAGCCCCTTCTCTCACCACCCCAGCAGACATTGTTGAAGCCCTTGTCCCAGACACATTACTCATTAGCAAAACTCTCGGGAGGTCAATGTGCTGATCACCAACCCAGGTTCATGCCCAGCAGTCTTCATCTGTTTCCACAACCCTGAAAGGGATTAGCATTTGAACTATGCATCTTGTGGATAAGAGTTTATTTTTCTGTGCTATCCTTAAGTAATTTTTTTCCAGCCCTTGGCGTCTGGGCTGATATGTTGCAAGAGTCTCCAGGGAACAGGTGCTGAGCAGTCAGATGGCAGCTGTTGATCAGTTGAAATTCAGCAATTAGAGGCTGCAGGAGAATGCTGAGGCACACAGTTTGCACTGAGCATTCACAAAGCCAAACATTTGAGTTTCTGTATTGTGGTAAACAACACACACACACACACACACACACACACGCGTGCGCGCGCGCACGATGTCTGTACGGTCTCAAATTCACTATATAACCCAGGATGACCATAACCTCCTGGGCCTTCTTCTTCCATCTCCTGAGCTTTGGGCTCGCAGACATGCACCATCACACCCTGTTATGCAGCAACTGAACCCAGGGCTCGGCAAGCTCTCTACCAAATGACCTGCTTCCTTCATCCTTTCACTATAGTAGCTGAGGAGTCAGAAGGGAGACAAAGACAGCACCTCCTGAAAGAGAACTTGAAACTGGATTTTATACTAGAAATCTGAATGGTTTAAAAATTGATAATCTTTTGGAGCATAAAGGTCTTATTCAGGAAATGTTGAAATCCTAGAAACTGATTTGGGATATATAATTATCTGAAATAATAGACTCCAAGGCTCAGGTTGGCAAAACAATCTGTCATTATATCTCAGCTGGGGCCTTTCAAAAAGATAAGCTGAATATCTTCACCAACCCCAGCATCGCATTTAAATCTCACCCACAGAATAAACATGGAAGGAAAAAGAAAAAGAAAAACTTGCTTCTGAATTATTTTTCTGAACCCAGAGAAATAGCTGGGTTTTGCTTTCAGGAGCCGAAGGAAGAATTGATAAATCTGTTTCTCTCTCCCCAGACTCTTCTACTCCAAAGATCACCTAACATTTTACAGAAACACAAAAACCAGACAGACAGCTAGACAAGAAGACTGGGTGCAAATTTCGCACTGTGTTGGCTTAACTCTGGTGCTGGGAATTAGGTCTCATGTTGGGCTAAGGGATATGAAGCCCTCCAGCTCAGGACTGACAGGGTGACATCAGATGATCACGCTGACGGTCATGCTCTGGCCATGGGGCACAATTTTTCGAGGCCAGGAGAGCAGCATTTTGCGCAGCTCCTCTCTGAAGCTGTCATGCAGCCAGGCGTAGATGAAGGGGTTGTAGCAGGCGGAGCTCATGGCGAGCCAGTGGCAGAGGAGCTGCACCAGCCCGAAAGCGTAGGGGTCAATGGCACGAGGGTCCAGGTCCCGAAGCAGGTTGAAGATGTGCAGCGGCAGCCAGCACACGGCAAACACCACTACCACCACCACCAGCAGACAGAAGGTGCGGCGGCGACGCGCCCGGTCCCAGTCAGCTTGACTCTGGGTCACGCTGCCAGGCACAACGCGGTTCCTCAGCTTCACCGACACTCGGACGTAGGACAGGAGAATGGCCAGCAGGGGGAGCAAATAGGTGCCCAACAGCAGCCCCCAGGCATAGAGCTGGCGCTGGCGCTCCTGTGAGCCCCAGAACTCCTCGCAGAGGCGTACGTCGTGGGGCTTGAGCTCCACATGGTAGGTGTGCACTGCGGCCGGCAACGCCAGCACCGCGGATAGCGCCCAGATGCCCAGCACAGCGTAGGCGCTGAGCTTCAGTGAGATGCGCCGGCGTAGCGGGTGCACCAGAACGACATAGCGGTCCAAAGCAATTGTGGTGAGTGTGAACACCGATACGTAGACGGTGACCGGCTGCAGGAAGAAAACCAGATGGCACAGGCCTCCACCGAACACCCAGCCGCGAGGCTCAAAGGCATAGGCCAGGGTGAGCGGCACGCAGGCGGCGCACATGAGCACGTCGGACAAGGCCAGGTTGCCGATGAGGAAGTTGGTCACATTGTGCAGCCGGCGCACGCGCGCGATCACCAGCACAAGCAGGCAGTTGCCCACCAGCCCCACGACCACCACAATGCTGTACAGCGTCACGATCAGCCCCTTCAGCTGGTGCACCAGCTGCAGGCTCTGGAAGGGCGTGACTGCTGCAGCGCGGGGGGCTGTCACCGACCCGTTGCCCTCCGAGGCCTCTGCGCTCTGGTTGGTTGGAGTGGAGCCGGCTGGCGGCAGCCCAGAAAACAAATCGGGGTCCCCGGGGGCTCCAGTGGGCAGTGAGGTCATGGCCACCTGTCCAAAGGTAATTAAAGTTGTCACTTTCCATCTTCCATCCACCCCTCATATACCCTCTCTCCATCACCCAACTCCACTCTTTGACATAACTAGTCCCAGAACATCAAACGCAATAAATGCTGTCCTCCCAGCTCTATAAAATAGACCTAGTACAGGTACTTTAAACAGCTCCTATTCGTGGCTAGCTCTTGCGGTCCAGGAAGGCAGATCTGAGAGCTGGTCCTACCTGTGAGCTGGCTTGGCTGGCAGGAAAAGGCTCTCAAAGGCAGGCGCAGACTGCCTGCTATCCCTCGGGAGTCCTCAGCCCAGATGGCCACTCGAGCTGCTCTCTTCTACTAATGGATCCAGGAGTACCTAGTGGGCCAGCAGCTTTTGAGGGGTCTGGGAGCTCCTCCCCTCCATCTCTTCCCCCACTCCACCTCTCCCTTTTATGGAAGATGAAGGTGGAGCATGTTGCCCAACTCTGTGCTTAGAGAAGGGGAGCAGCGTGTGTAGTAGAGAAGGAGCCAGGAAGGGGGCGGGGCCAGGAACCTGGGCCCCAAACTCCAGGAGTGATCTCCACTGCGGAAGTGTGCAGTGCCCAGAGAAGCTGTTCCGGAGGGGCGTGTCCCAGGGGGAGGTGAGAGGAGGTGCGGAAAGAGTCAAGTTATGGGGACCAGCAGATGCAGTCTCAAGAGGCAAAGGATCGGAAAGAATGTGGGAATAGAGAAATCCAGTTACACTAGCGAGGGAAAGGAAGACCGGACAGGACATCCCCAGATTCTGCAAAGCTCCAGCTCCAGCTGACAGAGTCGCTAGAGGAGTGGGATAGGGAGTCTAGTAGGGCTTTGCTGTGCTGAGTCTGGCGCTGGTCAGGGATTTAAGGGGTGTGGCTCTACAGAGGACCCTTTGAGCCTTTTGCTCGCATTGTGGCCCCAGGTCCCTTTCAAACAAAGGAAAAAATTCAGCACCACGGGCAACTCCCCCGGGGACGCTCAGTGTGGCGTGTGGGTACTGAACAAGGGGGCGCGCGACAGTCGAAATTACTGCAGCTCCATGGGTCTGAGTCTTGTTACCTGGGCTGCAGGCTGAGAAGTACTGGGTTAAGGTCGAAGAGTTGGTGACTTTGGCTTCAGTGTGGATCAGCACCACCAGGGACCATGCCATCTTTGTCTCCCTAGCAGCTATCAGACCAGTTTGTGCTTCACAGAGTCACTCCAAGATCTGAATCCTGCCATTTCTGGCTCACTCCTCTTTCTCTGCTACAGCCACTGCAGAACACCTGCTATCCTAGCAGAGAATTCTTGAGTTCCTGACCTGCTGTCTCTCCTTTTCCTCCTTAAATAAAAGCCCTCAGGCCTCTCTGTCTCAGTTTAGCTAGAATAACAAAAATGACATTTGAAAAGCTTAAGTATCATAAAATCTTTAGTACCATTGTCACCGACACATAAATCAAGCTGCACAGTGACAGGTCTGTCAGGAAAGGGACTTTGTAACTACTGTTCAGAAGCTATTGAATGTCAGGGCTTCAAGAAGAGGCTGAATCCCATGGTCTGATTACCTCTCTGGTAAGTCCTGCTTTGGCCTCTGGGGCTTCAGATATCCCAGCTCCACTGGAAGTAGTAACAGGTTATCTCACCCTTAAATTTTCAGTGAGTCACTCACACAAGAAGAAAAGCCAGCTACGATACAAAAGCCACCTGTTTGTGTGCCTATTTCCACCCGACGACCACACTCCCTGAGCCATAATCCATGTAGCAGAAACCAGTATGAACTCCTGGTGCTAAGTAGCTCACATGTCTACTGGGGAACTTTCCAAAGAAGATAATTTACCTCTTGCCAAAACAATGTGGTAAAGGCTCTATGTAATTTCAGTTCAGGTCTGCTTTATTCCAGGAAAAGCCTGTTCAGTGTGTGTGTGTGTGTGTGTGTGTGTGTGTGTGTGTGTGTGTATCTGGTATCATTCTTCAAAAGCTGTTGCTATTTTGTTGTTTCGATAGCAGTACTCTCATAGGGAGCTTAGGCTGACTGATCAATGATACTCAAAGGATCTGGCTGTCTTCATCTCCCCAGCGCTGAGATTACAAGTGTGCGCCACCATGCCAGGCACTTTAAAGGAGTCCTAGGGACTGAACCTAGGTCCTCATGCTTGTGTATCAACCACCTTAGAAACTGAGCCACTGCCTCAGCCCCCCACTGCTGTATTTTACTGGCCATGAGTGAATAACAGGTGAACCTGCCCAGACTGAAAAGACAGCAGATTCAAATAGGTCTATAGATAGAAGCTCTAGAAAATTGCTTCACCAAGGAAAGCTCCAGAAAATTCCATTGTAAATCCAACTTTATCATCACCAAGTTTAACAGATATGTATGCCTCAACCAAAACACCCCTTCTACCTCATGTATGGGGACAGACTCTTTAGCCATAAGAACTTCAGGGAATATTTGCTAAGAATGGCTGCTATGGTCTGAATTAGTATTTCCCCAAAGGCCTGTGTATTAAAGGCTGGGACTCCAGTCTATGGTGCAATGGGGAGGTAATGAAACCTTTAAGAGGTGAGGTTTAGTGGGAGTAAGTTGGGTCACTTGGGATGTGTTTTTCAAAAAGAATTATGGAAAATTGGTCTCTTCCAGTGTGTGTATGTGTGTGTAATGTGTGGAGTACAGAGGCTAGAATAGGATATCACCTTCTATCATTCTTTATGCTAACTTCTTGAGACAAGGTCTTTTACTGAGCCTGGAGCTCTCCAACTCCAGCTAGATGGGCTGACCAGTGAGTCCATAAGATTCATTTATCTCTGCTTTCTCCACTCCCAAAGCTGGGTTTATAAACACATGCCACTATGCCTTGTTTTTCACATGGGTACTGGAGATCCAATCTCAGATCCTCATGCTGTGCAGCTAAATTTGTACTTTTGTGCTGAAGTTATCCCAAATACACAGGAAACATTGCAGAAAGAAAGCAATTATCTAAATCTCGTCTAAGTCCAGGCAGTCACAGGACAGATAGCTCTGTTGGATATGATTCCAGACCTGTCCCTTGTGTGTTCCAAGAGTCCCTTGGCTCATGGGTTGAACCCTTTACCAGCCCTTTAAGGCTCTGCAACAGAGCAGAGTCAACTACCTTGGTCAGATAACAGCCTGTAGCAGGAAGTGTAGGAACTAATATAACTCATAAAAACTCCATGTGTTTCATTTAGATGGCTCTGAACGGGGCTGACCAGAATTGCTCTTTTCTGTCTGGAATTTTCTTCTTGTCCTATCTAAAGTCAAAAGCTAGACTCAAAGGTCCTGCTGTCCTCTCACCCAGAGGCAGCCCTGCAGTGACATTTAAGGCTGCCTCGTTTCAATCTGAAATTTTTATTGAGTCCCAGACCTTTTGGCCAAATGCTTAGGCAAACTCTGACGACATTCTTCACTGTGTCCTGAACTCTGAAGAAGTGAGTGGCGCCAGCTTTTCTGGAAAAGAAATTTAATCTCAGAAATTCTTGAGTTCAGGGCACAGAGTGGCAAAAGCAGTCATTTCTTGTTCTCATGAATCACTGTTTGGGCTGTATTCTGGGTAGATTCTAGGCAATCTCAAGGGATAGGGGAGACCATGCCCAGCATAACCCTAGAGTAAAAAGTACTCAAAACAAATACACCTTCAACATATAATATGGCTCTTTGCATGAGATTGACTTCGCTCTGACAAGAATTGCTGGTTTTCAGTCTTGGTCCATGTAATCGTTATTTCCCAGGTACACAATGACTAAGGCCAGATGTTGTAAGAATAATTAGGAATAAAATAATTTTAAAGATATTATCATCTAAAATTCTGCAGTTCAGTGCATGAGAGAGAAGTCTACAGAAATTGCTGGGATATATGAACTGTGATAAATGCCACCACCATGTGCAATGCAATAGAAAGGTTAATTATCACTGGGAAGTCATTAGCTCTTATAAGTTAGAGCTGTGTTCACTGTCATAGATCATATTTATTTAAATGTACATAGGCATGTCACTCTTCCCATGTTTATGTGTAGTGAGTACTACACACATGGGCCCACAATGAATTCCCATAAATTGCTTACATGCTCACATAGCATGAAATGAATGAGAAGAGGTATTCTTCATGCCTTCAGAAATGTCCTTCTAAATGTTCACTGAAATGTTCTTCAGCCAGTGCTTTGCATCAGGAAACTGTGTTTCCTGCGTTAGCCACTTGCTCAATGTCTGTCTTCCTGGAGATATACTTCCAACCATCTCCCACTGCCTTGCCAACCCTGAGTAGAGCAATATGCTAAGCTGTTAGATGGCTCTGCCTGTAGCTCAAATAATAAAACCCCAGAGACAGATATTGGGGTTCAAGCTGAAGATCAGAAAAGCAAAGTAGCCAAGCCACCAGAGAGTTCTTACCTATACCAAGGCTCAGACAAACAAATGGGCAATCCTGTCCTCAGCATAACTGTAGATGGCAATGCTCACCACCAAACCTCAGACTGCAATGAACTCTTGTCTCTTTCTGCTTTATATACCTCTCTCTGCCCAGACATATCACTCCTGTCTCCACTGCCCTAGTGCTGGGATAAAAGGCATGTGACTCCCAAGTGCTGGGAGCGCTTTTGTATGAGTTCTATATCTTTTTAAGATAGATTCAATCTCCTGTAGCCCAGGGTGGCCTTGAGTCCTGGGATTAAAGTTGTGTGCCACCACTCCCTGGGGCCTCCTTTGATTTAGCTCTGCACTCTGATCTTCAGGTAAACTTTATTTATTAAAACACAAATAAAATAACCATGTTTGTGCTCCATCCTCTTTCCTGATCATTTTATTCAGTTTTGAAATGCATGTCTGCTATAATCTACCAAAGATCCCACAAGTAACGTTGATGATGAGGGTGGGAAGTGTTGGACTGTTTATTGATATGATTATCCAGTTTTGGAATGCAGCCTGAGTGAGCGGAGTTACCGGGGAACCCTAAAGTGTTTTCCAACTGTCTGTGGCCTATCTGTATTCTCCAGACATAGGTAGCCTTCTATGACGCTGGACTTCACTCTATCCCTGAAGATCCAGTTCCCAGCCAGGACACCGCAACCCAAGGAATTATAAGACCTATGCTTAGAGTGGTTCTCCCCACCTTAGTTACCTCCATCTAGCAACTCCCTCACAGTGTGCCCAGAACTTTATCTAAGAAGATCTAGACCTAGAGGCGATCCTAGGTCCTATCAATTTGATAATCAACACTAACCATCATAGCCCTATGTCTCCTTGCTGATTGTCTTGGCTTCCCCAAGAAGGCACCTAGGTCTGTCCATGATAATGAGCAGTGTTGTAGCAAAATGCTCCTAGCCACCAACTGTCCACTGGCACGACACCTGCTCTGTAGGTTTGGTGCAGGAGAATTAACTGTATTCTGTCAATCATGTATTTTAATA